AGACCTGTATGCAAGACCTGTCCATATGTGGTCAAGGTGACTAGTCTAGAATTCCCGAACGCCACCTTCCACATACGTGAAGCATTCTATTGTGCCAGCCGCAATGTAATTTATGCCATCACCTGCAAGAGATGTGGCATGAAATACATTGGTGAATCGAGTCTACGGCTGGCTGACAGGTTCATACATCTTTTGGATGTGCAAAGTTGTGCTCTGAAACCAGTTGCACTTCAATTCCTAGGATCACCAAGGTGTCCTCGACATGGAGGTGACAGCCATTAAATCCAGCCACTCCAGCGACAGTCTGCAAGTCTCTTGAGAATCTCTCTATTTACACTCTGGGGATTTTAACACCCTCTGGACTGAATTGCCAACACAGTTTCATTTAAACTCCTAGAAGATTGAACTGTCTTCACGGTTGTATCTTAACCCCCCTAGTACTCCACAGGGGGTATTTATTAGCCTAGCCCACGCGTGTTGGCAGTCCGCTGAAAAACCATCGACCCGGCTGCTTCGAGATACCAGCTAAGTGATTTTGTGTATCTGTGTAGTATTGTTTGATTTGTATGTGCTGATGAAGGCTCCATAGCCTCAACGTACACGTTTTATTTGTATTTGTTATATTGTGAAGCTTGCTAATACACTTTTCGTTCAGTTTTATATCTTTTATTGACACACACACACAAACTAAACACATGTCAACACTTACTTTTCCCAGAGTCTCAATCCCTTTGAGAAGAACCAGAAATACGATGATGAAAGAAACAAGATTAGCTACAAGAAGTTCCCACTGCACATTACCGATCTCCTCAATAGTGCCAGAGTCACGGAGGATTTCCTTACTGAAAAACAGGGGAAAACAGATGTGGAAACAGTGGAGACAATTAAATACAGTAGACGCAATTTCAACTTCTCATTGAAAGGTTCCTGCCTTAACCGTTCTGTTCATGTGCCATCAACAACCACACATAACGCCTTACATTGCCCCTTATGGCGAACGCGGGGGGTGGGGGGGGGGATATATTGCAGTCCTGGCAAAGCCAACAGGAACACGCATTATTACAGAGGTACCAACACTAACAATCCGCCACTAGAATTGAAGTTTATCGTCATGGAAGCAGCTGTTATAAGAAACCAATAACTGCACTCGCTTTGTTGCATAAAGCAACACTCATTTTATGGCAACAGACCACTCGTCCATTGCTGAATATGCAATTGAAAATACAAATCACATTCAGCAGTTGCATTACTTTTTAAACTGCCGTCGTATTTAGTCAGTCAGGCAGTCAGTCAGTCGAGGTTCCAACATTACTGTAGACGGACCACAACCTGTGACTGCTCCGTTTCTGTGCTAGTGCAAATCACATAAAATGTCCTTGACAATCCTATTTGAAAAGTAGCGAAAAACTTATCAGTACCAGCAAAATCTTGAAGTTTTTCACACACACATTTTTTTCTTCTTCTAATATCCAAAGCAACACGCACACTGCCACATTAATTATTTACCCATCTGTCCCCCTATGTGTCTGTCTATTTTTCTGTTCGTCTTCCTATCAATACATTACTAAGTACAAACCATTGTCACTCTGCTTTATACTCACAAAAAGTAAAGCTCACTTGGGGACTTTGTTTCGTTTAGCTGGAGGTCGGCTGAAATAATTGAAAATAAAAACACTAGTTGAAGCTTTCTGAGATTATTAGCTCGGCGACCGGGTCACCCACTGGTTCGCAGGTAGACGACTTCGTCAACGGTCGAAACAGTAAATGGCTCGTCCGTCCCCAGTGATTGCATCAATACTGTTCAGATCTACGTGGTGGGGCGAGCAGTGCTGGGCCATTTAAATGACGCACATAACCAAGTCACAGTTATAACCTAAAGTCCCCCCCCCCACCCACTTTCGGGGATGCTGGTTGAATGTAACGATATTTTTTCGCAAAGAAAGCCTGCCAAACTGGCATTATTTGGACGTGTCCATTTTAATAATTTCTCTAGAGCAACCTGGAAACTGGTGCAATGGTTAGTACCTTTGTCTGCCGCTACGATGGTTGCAGGTTCGAATCTTTATCGAAGTGAATGTCCTTTAATAACCTGGCTGAATAAACCAAATTTAAAGATAGGTACTAGGAAATGCAATGCAAAGTAAAGGCGATATATCTTCATCTCTAAACAGCCTCTACCCCTCCCCCCCCCCCCCAACCAAAGTATATACCCTGTCACTTCTGTTTTCTATGACAGTATATACTCTATTTCATATTATTTATTTATATAAATATTCAATTTCTAGAAAAATACTCTTAGCGCCAGTTATGATTTTAACGTGTGTGCCGTATTAATAAACACATACATAAATATATACAAGCGAGACAGAGACGACGGAAAGAGAGACGAGAGAGAGAGAGAGAGAGAGAGAGAGAGAGAGAGAGAGAGAGAGAGAGTGAGAGACAGACAGAAACAGAGAGAGAGAGAGAGAGAGATACAGGGAGAAAAACTAGTCTCTATGCAATGAAGATACTCATAGGAGTGGCTATAGGCACACATGATATACAGTAGCAATCATAAATCTAAAGTTCGTATACCACTTGTGTCTTGTCGTGATATCCCCGCGTGGTAGCTGAACAGTTCTGTAACTAGACCAAAGTTTCGCTTTACTTGTTCTTACTTTTCTTCTTCTTTCTGCAGTCCGCATATTATTTTAGACATCGTTACATTACTGTGTGAGATTCCCCATTTATTGTATTCATTCATTCATTTGTTTATTCACTGATTCAAATATTTGTTTTCTTAGTTAATAGTTTTTCTAATTATTAGTTAATTATATTCTTTCGTATTGTTTGCTTTTGTTTCTGTCTTAAATAATCTTTTCATGCCCTTAAATTCCACCTTCTTTCTTTCTTTCTTTCTTTCTTTCTTTCTTTCTTTCTTTCTTTCTTTCTTTCTTTCTTTCTTTCTTTCTTTCTTTCTTTCTTTCTTTCTTTCTTTCTTTCTTTCTTTCTTTCTTTCTTTCTTTCTTTCTTTCTTTCTTTCTTTCTTTCTTTCTTTCTTTCTTTCTTTCTTTCTTTCTTTCTTTCTTTCTTTCTTTCTTTCTTTCTTTCTTTCTTTCTTCTTTCTTTCTTTTTTCTTTCTTTCTTTCTTTCTTTCTTTTTTCTCCCTTTCTTTCTATCTTACCCTAATTAGTTTCTTGCTTAATTTCTTCTCTTAACCCCCTCCCCCCTGTTCTGATAAGGACCACAGTTTCAGTTCACAACATAACCCAAAACAGAAACCACAGCAAATGTTTCTTACGGCACTCTACTCCTAGCGAGTTGTTGGTCCGCATAAAGTCGACCTCGCCCTGGGACAAATTCCTGAAGCCGTACAGCAGACACGAGCAGTCCTTGCAGTCGATCCAGGGCAAGTGGGAGGTGAACGAGGCCACCAGGAAACGCAGGCCCCAGGCAATGATGATGTCGTAGTAGATGAAGATGATTCCCGATGCCACAACCATGCTGATTCCTAGACCTGCCAGTGGAAAATTGATGTCACGTTAATTTTATAACCTACCAGTGTGGGTTGCGGGGCCCTATTGGGGGGTGGGGGGGGGGGTGGGGGAGTATATATTTACACCCACTGCATTCTAACACGCATTTCGACTAACTACCAACTAAGAGTCGACTAATTAGGATAGTTTCCTAAGAAGATGCCGGAGAGGCGAGGAACTAACAGTCCCTGAACAAATAATCCAGATCTGTAAAACTGATGTGTATGCAAAATTTAGTTTCTAGAACAAGAATAAAGCCCAGAAGTGGATGTACAAATTGAACTTTACGTTAGAGGTTACGACCGGAGAACGTAAAGAAAAGTAAAAAAAAAAATACATAGCCCGTTTGCTTTGACAACGCACAGCTATACTCCTCATACAAACGCACATTTCAATAAAGTTTTTCTGTTCTTTTAAATGTTGGAAAAAGACCGGGGAAATTAAACATAAATTACAGACTTTTCGAAAAATTGTCCTGTGAATACAATGGCCAAACTGGACCAAGTGTGAACAACTGAAAAGGAAAACAAAACAAGCAAACGCTGTCAATGGAAAATGAAGAAAACTTGGACGTATTTGCAGAATGCCATGTGACAGTTTGGCAAGGATAGCTTTCCGATGGACGGCATCTTGGGAAGTTGACCTTCGCTGTTTATAAGTTATGTTGTCGTCTTGTTAGCTATATTTTTTCAGTCACGGTCTGTGTTGTATTTAGTACATTTTTTTAAAGACTTTGGTCGAAACGTTCGGTTTTTTTTTTCTACGCGTCTTTACCATTCCCTCCATTGAGCTATCTAGTGCCAGTGTGTGTCATATTTTGCCTTCAGTAGTTTGCCATTGCTCTCTGAATTATAGTCAAAATCAACACAAAGCGGTCTGCTGTAAAATCTTCTACCCCAGAACCACCTTCATATACCCAAAGAATACTTCATATTCCATTTACACCAAAACAAGTAAAAACAACAAACCGTCAACAAAATTTCTTCGAGCCCGAGCTTACCTTTAAAGGCGGGGTTGATGGACCAAATACTCAATGGCCCTTTTCCTCCGTACTGACCGAACGCACATTCCAAAGCAAACAAGGGAATTCCCAGCAATGCTAAACTCAGTACGTAGGGAATCAGGAAGGCGCCTGGAATATGAATAAATGAATCAGTAAATAAATAAATCGAAATGACATCCCTATCGGTTTTATAATTCTCATTTCAAACTCCGCTTTAAATAAAAAAAAAAAGAAATTTATTTTTAATTTCGGAATGCAGGCTAAAAGACTGACAGCAATAACTCAAAGAGCCGATATTTGGATGTGAATCAAATAGTATAAATCCCAAAAACCTCGTTCGGTCATTTAAATAATTACGGTATATTGAAGCTCCTTACGTTTAGAGAAAAGCTAGCAGTCCAAATTGGGTAAATATTTCTTAAGTAAAAACAGACCTCACCTCTTGAAATCAGAATTCACAAAGAGAGCTATTTGCTCGACTTATTCTCAAGAGCATTGCCTCCCCCGACCCCTGAGAACGTGAAGACCCAGCTGTCTTGAGCTATCTGTCTTTATTGTCATTATTTACCTTTTTTTTATTATCCTTGGTCAAGTACAATCTTCTACATGCCCGGGTCAGCTCCTTGTGTGCTGAGAAAAGCTATCAGGGGAGGTCCGGCTTTTCTATGCTTCCCAAGATACATAAACCTGACAACTCAGGCAGGCCGATTGTGTCCGCCTGCGCTTGTCCCACAGAACTCATATCTGAGTTCCTCGACCGTATCTTGCAGCCCCTGGTCGTTAGTCTTCCGTCTATCATCAAGGATACGAACCATGCTATCTCCGTCCTTCAATCCATTCGGGCCACCTCTTCTTCCAGGTACCACATCTTCACCTTAAATGTTACCTCCCTCTACACCTCTATTCAACACTCTGATGGGCTCAAGGCTGCGTGGTTCTTTCTAGATCGTAGGGTCAGCCCAGCTATAGTCAGTGACCCTTCGATACACCTGGCTGAGTTAGTGCTCACTCTAAACACTTTTGAGTTTAACGGCCACCACTTCAACCGGATCAGCAGTGTCGCTATGGGCACTAAGAAACGACTTAGCTATGCATGCCTCTTCATGGGTTACTTTAAACACCAGATACGTCATGCCTTTACTGGTAGGCTACCTGAGCTCTACAAGAGGTATATCAATGACTGCATCGGTGTCACCGATATACCCCTACCTGAATTGCAAAACTTCATTCATTTTTTTCTCCAACTTCCCTCCCAGCATCCGATGCATTTTCAGCTTTTCACCTCATTGGTGCATTTTCTGGATATCACTATCACCGTGGACTCGGTGTGCTATAAGCCTACTGATTCCCGCGCGTTTCTTCTTTACATTTTATCTCCCCTCTCTTCATGCAAGGACTTCCTTTCTCCCAGCTTCTACACCTCTACAGATTATGCCAGGAGAATGACGACTTTCACAACAAGGCCCTAGAAATGTTGGACTTCTTCCGGCGCGGTGGGTATCCGGAACATATCTTATCTGCTGCCTTTCACCTAGCATGGTCTCTCCATCGTGCTGAGGCTCTCGCTTTCAAGCCTAAACGGCACCACAACGAACCCATCTCACACTTGTCTACCACCATCACAACATCCGTGCTAAAAATATTCTCCTCGTGCATCTCTTCATCCTTAGGGCTGACCCTACCAGTAGCAAGATTTTCTCTGAACCTCCGCTAGTGGCCTTCAGGCACGACCGTAACCTTAGGGACATTCTAGTTAAGAGCTGGTTACGTCCCGCGTGAGAGTTCCACTTCGGGACTGTATCTTGCCACAGACCTGTATGCAGGCCCTGTCCATATGTGGTTCAGGGTACCAGACTGGAATTCTCGAATGCCACCTTCCAAATACGTGAATCCTTCTATTGCACGAGCCGTGATGTAATTTACGTCATCAATGGGGCGTTAAATACATCAGTGAAACCGGTTTGAGACTGGCTGACAGGTTCGGACAACATCTTTTGGACGCGCAGAAGGGCGCCCTAAAACCAGTACCACTGCATTTCAATTCCCATGATTACCAAGTGTCCACGACATGGAGGTGACAGCCATTAAATCTAGTCACTCCTGCAAAAGAGTCCGCAAGTCTCTTGAAAATCGTTTTATATACACTCTGGGACCTGTGGCGCCCAGTGGACTGAACTGCCAACACGGCTTCATCTAGAATCTTAGGGAACTGAACTGCCTACATAGTTTCATCTTATTATCGAGTTCTGGCACCTGGATTTTCCCGGAATATTTATTCTCCACTTCTCACGTATCCCGGTCAGTCTATTGGCTAGACATCGGCCTGGCTGCTTCGAGATACGAAGATAAGTAATATTGTGTGTTTGTGTATTATTGTTTATTTTGTGTATGTGCTGATGAAGGCTCCATAGCCGCAACGTTCACGTTTTGTTTGTGTTTGTTATATTGTGAAGCTCGCTGATATACTTTTCGTTTGAGTTTATATCTTTCCTTGATATTTACTATTTTTAGGAAGGTGGTGAAGGGAGCGTGGGGGTTCCTAAAATCTGACAATTTATGGCTGCTTGTAGGATCCCCCTTCTCCCCCCCCCCCCCTTGAGAACAAAATCCATCCATCATCCTACGCAGATTTGAGCCTGGGTCTCCTGAGTGAAGGAGTGAAGGCCCCAGCGTTCTTGACCTCTCGTTCACCTGCTGCTCTCATCAAGTCAGTTTAACTTATGATTCCTCTGATTTCGAGTGTGGGACACGTAGAGGAATGCCGCCTGCTAAGTCCTGACAATGGAATTGTCACGATTAATGTTTATCAAGTTAGTTTCAGCTATCTTACATCTAGAGTTGTGTGTGAGTTTAGGACCCTACGCTAATTTATTACATCAATAAGTTGCTTTTCTTGTTCTCGTTAGTGGTTGTGGTAGTGAGCGCTTAGTGCATTGCTTTTTACGACAGCCAACAGTGTTAAGACATCTTACTCCGTAACCTCTTTTACCCCAATGAACGCGTCATATAGATCTTGTTAGTGTGTGCCAGTTAGACATGTTGTGTATTATTACGTTTGGTTTGGGCATTGGAAACCATTCTGCCTAGTTATTGCAATGTATAACATAGTTTGTTTTATATACAGCACTTTTTCTGTTTCATGTTTTCATGGTGTTTTTTTCCCCCTCGTTGATGTGCATAATCAACCATACACACACACACACACACACACACACACACACACACACACACACACACACAAATGAATCATTCTAGTGAAGTACAGAAATACCCACAGATAAAAAAAAGTTATGTTGTTAACTGAACAATCACTTGGTAAAACGCGGTAATTTTTTTTTTTTTTTGGGGGGGGGGGGGGGGTGTTTAACTAAGGTTAATTTCGTATTTCACTTGTAAAGAATTTAATCTATTTGCTTCATTCTATTCAGTTTTTACTGTAGTATAACACTTGAGCAGATACATGGACATACGCTAGGCAACAAACTGTGCGATCTAGTTAATGTTTGTTTTGTATTTAAATTACAAAAGTTATGTTATTTCAAGCAAATTTTTTTGTTCAACTTCTAGAAAATAGGTTTCGGTACTTGGCACACAGTTTGTTTCTACACTAAAGTGTCGGCACTGGCCAAAAAGTGTCTTTTGCAACAATGATGACAAGAGATGCCTTGAAAAAGATGCCTCCACTTCATACTGTTAAGGCGGGAAAAGTCCCGGTGTTAATACGTCCCTGCTGGCCATTGGGCGTTCCTGGGGGTGCTCAGTCTTACTATGCTGTAGTCATTCCAAGTTTCCGTCAAGACACCTCTGTTGATTTTTCCTATGAGGAGTTGATTACATTGTCTCCCATTTTGACTTTGAAGATGTCGTGCTTGCCCATGTTTAACTCCAATGTCTTTGGTATAGCTACTACAACAGTAATGCCTGCTTACGACCAAAAACGCTTGTCTTGCAATATTATCTAGTCTTAAGTTGGGTGTCTGTAACATGACGATTTCCGTGATCTTGTTCGCAATGTAATATACTTAACAAAAGGGATTACAGTACACACTGTACAACATTATGCTAGCCGGGAGGAATTGTGCTCTTGCTTCTTCTTCTTCTTCTTCTTCTTCTTCTTCTTCTTCTTCTTCTTCTTCTTCTTCTTCTTCTTCTTCTTCTTCTTCTTCTTCTTCTTCTTCTTCTTCTTCTTCTTCTTCTTCTTCTTCTTCTTCTTCTTCTTCTTCTTCTTCTTCTTCTTCTTCTTCTTCTTCTGCTTCTTCTCTTCTTCTTCTTCTTCTTCTTCTCTTCTTCTTCTTCTTCTTCTTCTTCTTCTTCTTCTTCTTCTTCTTCTTCTTCTTCTTCTTCTTCTTCTTCTTCTTCTTCTCTTCTTCTTCTTCTTCTTCTTCTTCTTCTTCTCTACTTCTTCTTCTTCTTCTTCTTACTTCTCTTCTTTCTTCTTCTTCTTCTCTTCTTCTTCTCTTCTTCCTTCTTCTTCTTCTTTCTTCTTCTTCTTCTTCTTCTTCTTCTTCTTCTTCTTCTTCTTCTTCTTCTTCTTCTTCTTCTTCTTCTTCTTCTTCTTCTTCTTCTTCTTCTTCTTCTTCTTCTTCTTCTTCTTCTTCTTCTTCTTCTTCTTCTTCTTCTTCTTCTTCTTCTTCTTCTTCTTCTTCTTCTTCTTCTTCTTCTTCTTCTTCTTCTTCTTCTTCTTCTTCTTCTTCTTCTTCTTCTTCTTCTTCTTCTTCATTTAACCTCTTCAGTATCTATCTTTAATAAACATAAATGGGAAACTTATAATTAAGTGTTTCTCCATAAACAACTTACATTTGATTATAAAGAAATTCCAGCCCAGTGTCCTGCTTGAAAATGTATGGGAAAACGGGAATAGGAGTTGAAATTTCACAAACATTGCGATGGTAGAGTAATAATAATAACCTATATGCACTGACCTCCGCCATTCTTGAAGCACAGATAAGGGAACCGCCAGACGTTGCCCAAACCTACAGCATAGCCAATCATAGTCAGGACAAACTCCAGCTGTCTACCCCATTGTCCCCGGACTTCTTCCTGTAAACAGTGATGAGAACAGTGTAAGGTGAGGTCGGCAAGTCACTGGTAACAGGTAAATAATCATTATATGATTCTAAGATGTTGTCTAATAGTGACTAGTAGCTGGTAAACAATGACTGTAAGACTATGGTGTTGTCCGCAAGTGAGGGGTGACTGACAACAATGACTACTATGATGTAACACGTGATTGCCACCATATCACCTATCCAGCGCCAATTGGTCTTTAAAATATAGGTCTGGCACCCAATATGCCTAAAGACTTGGCAAAGTTATGTTATGAGTTTTGAGTTAGATTATCTTCACAGCACTCCTGACGCTCAGATTCCCCTCTCAACATATTTATCAGGGTCGCGTGGTTAATAGTTCCAGTCCTATGTTGGTTAAAAAGACTTTGTGTGAGTCCGGTGTGCTTCTCATGCTTGGCTGTGCTGATCTTTACTCTCATTCGCGTATTTTTAGCAGTGATGTTGACACGTTGCTTCCAAAATCACCAAAACGTCCTATCTCTCTAAGGGCAATGACAATGTCTGCTCGATCCGTGGGTAGGCCATCTTCAATTAAAGCAGCATTACCAATCTAACAGCTCTTTCATTACCAACAACGCCTGCATACCCTGGGACGAATATGAAAGTAACTGCACACATAGGAGAGTTTTGCAATGACTCAAACCACCGTCTGCGTAACCAGCATGCCTCGACCAGCCGGATCATGCTTAAAGAATTACTCAGCACTCACACGCGTGGGAATAGTGCTATGATTCTAGCAACACACACACAACTGGAAGACGACAACATTAACAGTGTAAGGTGAGATATGCAAGTATGACATTAATGAGATGAACACAATGCATGTTGTGTCAGCACGGGATGAATAACTGGTCAACAATGGTGATAACAAAGTAAATTGATGCCCGCAAGTGTTTTTGCTTTTTTAATAACTGTGAAAATTAATAACAATTAAATCCGACGCCAGCAAATGTCTTCTAAGTGGCAAACAAAGATAGCAATATGAGCTGATAAACAGCGACATCAACAGTTCAAGTAGATTTCCAAAAGTGACTGCTAACTAGTAAACAATGTCAATAACAATGTAGTTTAAGGTCTGCAAGCGACACACAATGACGAGCACAATAAAAGCTGATGCTTAAAAGTGTTTGGTAAATTGGTAAACAATGACAACAACAATCACATCTGATGCTCACAAGTGTTTGGTAAACTGGTAAACAATGACAACAATCAAATCTGATGCCCACAAGTGTTTGGTAAACTGGTAAACAATGACAACAACAATGAAAGTTGACGCTCAAATGTGTTTGGTAAACTGGTAAACAATGGCGATAACAATTAAACTAATGTCCGCAAATGACCGATAACATACAATGTGACAACTGTCACTATACCTATACTCTTGGCTCTGCTGGACTTAAAACGGCTAGACACTGTCTGCGGATCCCAAGGTCATGAGTTAAAATCCATACGGTGCTGGGTTTGTTTTTCCCCCCGCTATCCAACTATCTTAGCTCCCAGGTACTAACCACATCACCCACTAAGGGCCGATCGGTCTTTGCAAAATATGAGTGGAGACTGACATGCCCGATGTGCCATTGGCGTGTTGTGGGACCTTTAAGTTACACACGGAATGAAGACAGCTGACGCTACACATTAAACACTGGACCGCAAACCGGGGCGCTGACACCACGGAAACATTGGGCCGGGGGAGAGGGTGAGCATCACAACCATTCCCCTGTCTTATACATTTTCTAAACAAAAAGAGCATACTAATTATAATAATAAAATAATAATAAAATAATAACAGTAATAATAATAATAGGTTAAATAGCAAATAAATGTAATAAAAAATCTGAAATAATTTAAAATATTTATCAACAGATATTTGAAAAATCTTCTTCTTTGGTCACCGGCTGTAAGCTCCTGCAGAAAGTCCTGGCTGTTCGTCCATTTGAACTTTGGCTTTGAGTCAGGGCCTGAGCTTTGCGTGTACATCCGTTTTACTTGCTTATTTGTGTGCAGTTGGTTGTTTAACAGAAACGATCTATGTTTTAATAAAATGGAGCCCCTAAAATGTGCCGCAAACTGTTTCTCCCCACGTCTCATAAATACAAAAGTAGGAGCTGATGCTGACTGGAAGATACATTTTTGTTCAACCTCTACAGCGCTATGGCCTTTTCCAAATCTTGTACCCAGGGCAGTATTTAGAAAGTATGACGCCCCTGTGAAGTCATTTAATGTAAGTCCCCCTTTCTCTCAGCTACTCCTCAGCCTCGCTATTGCGATAGTATTTTAATGCCAGACGTTAATCTTCGTCTTTTTCTTCTCCACATTTACCGGCTGCAAACGCCGAAGAAAAGTTCTGGGTGTTCGTCCACCTCTGGACATTAGTCTTGTTCCAGAAGCTGAGTGTTGCCTTCTGATCTGTTTTTCAGATCTGACTTATGTGATGCAGACGGTTGGTTCCTTGTCTCCCAGGCAGCTGCATTCCGACTTTGAATGAATGACAGTAATCTAATACGGGACATAATTATAAAACCAAAAAAATTATAAATATTTTATTGCTACTTGTTATATATTGTCGACATTCCTTTTTTCCTAAACGTTTGTTGCCCCAAAACGCGTGCCTCCCTGTGCAGCTGCACATGTTGGGCACTGCTTTGCTATACGTTTGATATACTCAGTGAAGTCAGTCACAGCTTCCTCAGTTACAAGGATGTTACATGCCATAGCCTTAAACTCTTATTGTTTATACTGTCCCAACATTTTTGAAGACGCATATTAGGTATGGGTATGCCGGCCAATACCGGATAACTGATTTCGGAAGGGTCACTTCTCGGAACTAACACATAATTCACCTGACCGTGAATAATTCAACGATGTAATATGGACGTGATTCGGAAATACACAGGTTAAAATAAACCAAGATATAAATACATGTACAGCTTTCATAAAAATTTAATTATTCCGCGTCTGGATGAAAATTCCGTATTTTCATTTCGGCACGCTTAAATCTGACACAGATGTATGCGAACCCCATGGGCGCATTGTGGTATTAGTAATGCTTTTAATCAACGGTTTTCGCACCGGAAACGTCAGGGTTTAACTGTTATGACCAGAGTAAATTAAAACGATTTAAGGTCAGACAGAGACAATGGAAACATTCTTTGCCAGTCTTCTCGAGTGTTGTCGTAAATCTAGATATCTCGATTGTAGGCTATATGAGTCCAGTGTCAATATATGAAGATTTACAATATTTGTCATGTGTGTACATATGTATTATTATGTGTAAGTGCATGCATATGTACTTACGTAAGTATGCATGTATTTTCTGTTCCTAGCACATATGCCTTAGCGTGTGAACGTTGTGCTCTACCTCAACTGTTAAGTCTGTATGAGTATGTGTTTACATATTTATGTTTTTGTGTGCATATAAATGTTATGTGGATAAATACTATATAATATGTGCACTAAACGTGTCGTCGGCGTCTGTGGCTTAGGAACGAGCTTCGTAATGTCGGGGTGGGGGGGGGGGGCGAGTTCGATCCCACCTGCAGACCTTGCTCCTTACGTTGATTTCGACAATGGTATCGAAAAGCCCTCCGCCCAGAAAGCAATGGCAAACTACTTGATGTAAAATTGCACAGAAAAAACAACAGCAGCCAAAAAAATGTTGTGGTTGGTACTGTCATGTCATGTAAAGGATACGCAACTAACTTCAACTAAACGTGTATTCTGATAAAAAAAAAAAGTTTATGTATGAAAAATACTTTTTACAACTTTTCCTGCCTTAGAAGCTTGAAATGACAGTTGAAGTGATCAAAAGTGAAGTAACAGCCTAACCTAATTGTAACAAGGGGTTGGGGTAGAAATAGATAGAATAATAACTGAACCTCATTGTAGCAAGGGGTTGAGATAGAACTAGGTTAAGTGATAACTGAATCTAATTGTAACAAGTGGTTGGGATACAGCTAGGTAAAGTAATAAGTGAATCTCACTGTAACAAGCGGTTGATATAGAAGTAGGTACAATAATAAGTGAAGGTCACTGTAACAAGTGGTTGAGGTAGAAATAGATAAAATAATAACTGAACCTCATTGTAGCAAGTGGCTGAGATAGAACTAGGTAAAGTACTAAGTGAATATCACTGTAACAAGTGGTTGAGGTAGAAATATGCCCAGTAATAAGTAAATCTCACTGTAACAAGTGGTTGAGGTAGAAATATGCCCAGTAATAAGTGAATCTCACTGTAACAAGTGGTTGAGGTAGAAATATGCCCAGTAATAAGTGAATCTCACTGTAACAAGCGGTTGAGATAGAAGTAGGTACAATTATAAGTGAAGGTCACTTTAACTAGTGGTTGAGGTAGTAATAAGTGAAGTAATAACTGACTCTCACTGTGACAAGTGGTTAAGATAGAACTCGTGAGACGAACCTACGACCTGCAGACCGCGAGGCTAACGGCTTGACCACTTCGCCCCGTAGATCTCCATGGGTTAAATAGTTCTTGCTATTCGTCCATCGGTGGACTTTTCTTTTGTTCCAGAACTTGAATTTCGCACACACAGTCATTTTTACAAATCTGGCTTATTTGCATGCAAACTGTTGGCTCCTCGCCTTTAATGGCAGACTTCGATGGCAACACCCATAATTAGTCAGCTTTTAAAAACACGTTCGGTAGTGGGAGACAGTGGGCCTATTTCCCCCCCCCCCCCCCCCCCCCCCCCCCCACACACACCCAAATTGTGCCCACTGAAGCTCTCGGGAAGGTACGTTACTGAGACCAATGGTCCCAGCGACCCATAGGGGAGTAAAACAGTTTTTTTTTTAAAGCACACAACCATACGCCACAAAGAACAAACAAAAGGAACAACGCAAAGACCACCAAACTGCCTGTCCCATTTTTGCGGTGTAGGCGGGGGGGGGGGGGGGGGGGGGGGGCTTTTCAAACTCAGGCTTTAAGGCCGCATAGCTAGTGCTGTCGACACAGACGGTGCAAGTTAGGAATTTTTAAAATTATTTTTGGAACCCGACACACAAAGAAAATCCATAACCTCACAGAGGATTCGAACACGGGTCGCCCGCCCGAGAGCCCCCCGCCATCAACCGTTCGGCTTCTAACACAAGTACCAACGTCCACAAATATAACCAACGCTTACATAGAAGCTGGCTGAACGTGGTCTAACACTCCAACAATCGAATCGAATCGGACTCGACATTCACAGCCCCCACATGAATATAAATAATTATGCATATTTAACGGTTAATTACTGTCACGGGGAGTGTTTAATGAAGTGTGACAATCGACTACCAACATGGCGCTGGGCAGCTGTAGTCCACGAGAGGGTCACCGAGTGAGGCTAATTTGTCACTGGGCAGACGCTGAATTTGAATGGACACGTACAACCGAGACCGTGAGAAAAGCGTAGATATTTCCTCATTCAATTTTCGTTACAAACAGACAGACTTATTTCTTAAACAGGAAGGCAGCTGAGGTGGTGGAGGGGCTAAACGCTTTCCTGCTAGCCAGAAGGTTTTGAGTTCGAACCCGCATGGAATCAGATTTAATAATTGACCCCACCCATCAATCGAGCCTAAAAGCTATACATAGGTAGACATATAGATAGACAGATAGACAGACAGACAAACCTTATTATCATTAAGTGCCACGTGGCGACTGGAAAGATTAGTGACAAGAGAAATAAAGGAAGACAACCATAGAAGATTTCTCGCAGATTTTGTGTGTGTTGTGTACTGGCATTGAAGAATAGCAACACACGAAGTGATATACGTGATGGAGATCGAAATCTGCTGGGTGGCAAATGAACTGAGTAGGCAAGGACGTCCAGAAGAAACTCTACGATGAACATTGATAAAACAGGCTGAAGATGACGGCCTAGATTCCATCCATGATACTGAAACAGTCTCACAGGATAGAATAGAATGAAAGAATAGACTACAAACCCAATGTGACGTGTAAGGGCACAACGGGATGATAATGATGATGATGATACTGTATAGGTAGGTAGGTAGTTGTACCCCACCAGGACATCACACAAGTTATTAACACCGGGTGACACAAAGTGCCACCATGCCGATGAGGATCACCAGTGGAGAGGTCCAAGAAACCCTTTTAACCGTTATGGCCATGTCTATGGTTATATTCAGGGTCCCCGGCAGAAGCCAGGGTGGGGCATTAAATAACAAAAAAACTGCATCCCACTTGGGAACGAGTTTCAACACCTGACACTGTTTAAACTGAAGCTGGTTGACAATACATCCACCCCTCCTCCCACCCCCACCCCCACTGGACAGCAGATGGCTTCGCCACATTAGGGTATCCTAGTACGGCTGTTTCAAACGTTAAAGAGTGGCTTCCCTAAATTGTTCCCGTTGGATTCGCGTCCACACAGTAGCTTTTTGAGTCACTAGGTATCAGTCTTTCAAGCTGCAATCTCGAAGGGTAAAAAAAAATTTTAATGTATGAATGTAGCAATAGCCAAAAACAAATTATACTTTTAATTCATAATACTTACGGCCATTGTTCTCTTGCAGACTTGATCCCAGATAAACACACAGGGGCACTAATTCAAAACGTGATGTTGAAACTTAGGAAGAAATTATATCGAACAGCAAGCACACTTGACGCCAGTTCTGTTGATCTTTTGCAGACTATACAACGTCACTTGTCTCCCTGCATTGATAGAAGGAACATACTTGTTTCTTTATCAATGAAACAAAACAAAAAAAAAAAACAAAAAAAAAAACAAAATAAACTGGCATGGTAGAATAGTTTGGAAATGAGGATATAAGGTTTTCCTTCGACTGAAAAAAATAAATAAATATGAAACATACACTATAACAACTGTTTCATTTTTTTTTTTAAACAAGTATTATACACTTTTGCATTCTTTGCTCGAAGTTACAGGTTACGTCAAAATAGTTCAAACTATTTTCTGATTCCGATTCCATAAATTATACAATATTGTACTTCCCGTACTATTTAGGATAAAATTTTTCGTTATTTGAAGCCCCACCCTGGCTCTTGCCAGGGGCCGCAATATAGCCAGGCCATACATATAGCCAATTGGCTCAACGAGGTTTCTCTGACCTCTTCAGGTGATCCTCATCCAAGTGGTGGCATTTGTGTCATTGGTTGTTTATCGCTTGTGTGATGTCCTGGTGGGGTAGAAAGTCAGTCAGTCATTTCATAAATTATATCCTGCCGTCCTTTTCAGGATGCAATTTTTTCGTTATTTGAAGCCCTACTCTGGCTCATACTAGGGGCCGCAATATAGCCCCGCCATAAATATGGCCTAATTCCTGAACGCGGTTTTTGAGACATCTCCACGGTGATCCTCATCCACATGGTGGCACTTTGTGTCATCGGGTGTTTATCGCTTGTCTGATGTCCTGGTGGGGTAGAAAGTCAGTCAGATTTCATTTTAAAAAATCCCAAATTTGCTCCCTTTTTAGCCGCAAGGAGGCCTGCTATAAGAAGGAAGGTTCCTTGGCTATCTTATATGGTGTCCTATTCTGTGTGGTGTGAAGTCACACGTGATATTCCTATTCTTTGTCTTCCTAAGTCCGGTGTGGTGCTTGGAGTTCTGGTCCTGGCCTGGTCTAGCTCTCATTAACTCTTATTTCTATCAACTTTCTTTTGTACTTTTTTGTGTTAAACCGGTTCCGGTGTCGAGGTAGGTATAGGGTTCTGCTTCTTGCTATTCTGACCATCCCTTAAGGGTCTGAACTTCTTTTCAATTTGTAACCTACTGGGCCCCAACATAACCTCACGGGTTTCTACATGTAGGATTCTCTTCCACCGGGTGATAATCTTGCAGACTGCAATCCTAGATGGGACAAACTGCAACTTCTGGCCGCCTCGACTTTGGAAACGCTGTCCTGTTGTAGAGTTTCTCGGATGTTAT